TTCATTTTGTTGTTAAAGACAGTGATGTTGTGGGTTCACAGCTTATAGGCTTGGTTACAATCCCGGTGGAACAGATATACTCAGGTGCCAAAATTGAAGGAAGTTATCCGATTCTAAACAGTAGTGGGAAGCCTTGTAAACCAGGGGCATATTTATCATTATCGATCCAGTACACTCCTATGGAAAAACTTAGTGTTTATCATCATGGAGTTGGGGCAGGTCCTGATTACCAGGGGGTACCTGGAACATATTTTCCGCTAAGAAAAGGTGGAACTGTGACACTGTACCAAGATGCACATGTCCCAGAAGGGATACTCCCGAGTATAAGACTAGACAATGGAATGTCTTACGAACATGGGAAGTGTTGGCATGATATGTTTGACGCCATTCGCCAGGCAAGGCGTTTAATTTATATCACGGGTTGGTCAGTGTGGCACAAAGTTAGGCTGGTTCGGGATAAAGCAGGTCCGGCATCAGAATGTACCCTTGGTGAGCTCCTAAGATCAAAGTCCCAAGAAGGCGTGAGAGTCCTGCTTTTGATTTGGGATGACCCAACTTCGCGTAGCATCTTAGGTTATAAAACAGTACGTTACACACCCTTGGCTGTCATTTCTTTTCGTTTTTATTCTTTATTTTCTGATAAATATTTCGTATTCTATTTCATATATAGTCTGAGTTTCATTTAGAGTTTCATTAATCGATAGCTCTGGTTTTATGACATTCCTTCCTTCTTATATATTAACAATTTTCCTTATAACTTAGTAAGTCAGATGAATTTGAAATTCAGGATTAGGAAAAGCCGGTTTCATGTAGTAACTACTACTTCATTTCAAGATATGTACCTTATATATTTGGCATGGCTTGTAAGATTTCTTGTGTCTCATTTTAGTTTTATCTTTTGACTCAACTTGGTAAATGTACATACAGGATGGCGTTATGGCAACCCATGATGAGGAGACACGCCGTTTTTTCAAGCACTCCTCAGTTCAAGTCCTGCTCTGCCCTCGAAATGCTGGAAAGCGACATAGCTGGGTCAAACAGAGGGTAGAGTATCACTTTCTTTTTCCATTTTTTTGGTTAAACTAGGTACCCAACTTCTAATTAAATTTTTTAGTCTATCAGGAAGTGGGGACAATCTATACACATCACCAAAAAAACGTAATAGTAGATGCCGATGCTGGTGGTAACAGAAGGAAAATTGTAGCTTTTGTTGGTGGGCTTGATTTGTGTGATGGCCGATATGACACTCCTCAACATCCGTTGTTCAGGACACTACAGACAGTTCATAAAGATGATTTTCACAACCCCACTTTTACGGTACAGCTTCTTAATATCCTCTTTCGTTTTAAATTCTTGCGTAACTTTCTTGGAAATTACTTAGTAAGTTACCTTGAATGGTAGCTAGAAGCGAAATTCGTTCTTTTTATGGAAATATGATCTTGAACTTGATTAAGCGGTATTGTTTGACATTATGTCTTTAGTCTTTGTTCTGGCTTCATTGTTTTTTTTTTAGACTGTGCAAGCAATTCACTGATTTCTAACAATTTCAAATTTTCAATACACGTGCTTTGTTGTGTCATATAAAACCAGATTGCTGATTTTTGATTCTTTAGAAAAGTAGATCTTGGCTTCCAAAGTTTCTTCAGTTTTCGTATCTTTTTTCACAATCTTGATAAGCTCCCCCTGGTGGATTTTGTCAGTTGTAAACATCAAGTTTTGTTGAGCTCTAACATCGATAACCATCTGGGAGCCGATCTTTTTATTCTGGATGGGATAACATTAACTTTGTGTACTTATTAATGTCATCATTTCATCAGGGAAACCTTTCGGGATGTCCAAGAGAGCCATGGCATGATTTACACAGTAAGATCGATGGCCCGGCTGCGTATGATGTGCTGACCAACTTCGAGGAGAGATGGTTGAAGGCTGCGAAGCCTAGCGGGATCAAGAAGTTTAAGACTTCCTATGACGATGCGTTGTTAAGGATTGATAGGATTCCAGATATATTAGGAGTTTCTGATACCCCTACCGTTAGTGAGAACGATCCTGAGGCTTGGCATGTTCAGGTAAGAACATCAATACTGTTAATGTCCAGAGGTTGAGTATTTTACGAAGCCATAATTTAGATCTTGCGCCAGTCTTTAGCATTGCATGGGAGTTCGAGATGAACTTTAGCATTAAGGCGGAACCAACCAATATTCATTTTCTCCTAGTATGTGTCGGCTATCTTGATTGAACATATGATATTTAATAATTAGTGACTAGACTGACTGATTTGGCAACATATCGTCTGACATCAGTTTCCTTGTACCCGTTTCTTCTTTTTATCTCTAGCCATGGATATGAAATGGGTCTTTCATTGTTGAGACTATTTCATAGAGTCGATGAAAGATGTCATACCATGCAAATTTTGAAGTTTGGTCCAAATCTATTGTCCAGGAAAATTATTTCATTAGTGGGAATATAATTGTGGTTCATATTATGCAGGCTAAGCTGATGTTTTTCTGGTTTGATACAGATCTTCCGTTCAATCGATTCAAACTCTGTGAAAGGTTTCCCAAAAGATCCAAAAGAGGCTACATGCAAGGTGACTTGAAAATTCAAAGAAATCTGTAGCTATCATAAACATTTCGAAAAACTAATCCATGAAAAGGTTATTGTTTTGGATAGAACTTGGTGTGTGGGAAGAACGTGCTCATTGATATGAGCATTCACACAGCGTATGTTAAGGCCATTCGTGCAGCCCAACACTTCATTTATATCGAGAATCAGTATTTCATTGGGTCTTCCTACAACTGGAATGCGCACAAGGACATAGGTTTGGTTATATGTCTCTGCTTATTTATTTCAAGCATACAAGAAACTTCATTTCTTTTCTTACAGTTATGAGTCATTGTCGTAGGTTAGACATCAGTCGCTTTTGTCTATATATCCTAAACTGTGTCATATGTTGCGATATCTATGAAATTACATCTACTTTTTAAACTTTGTACTAGCTTTAGGTTACTTCTGTATTTGTGTCGCTCTCTGATTTTTCTTGATTTCACATTTTGAGTTTTTTTCTTTCTGAGTTGCATTGGCTCTTAACATTACATTGCTCTACAATGTTGATGTGTAGGTGCGAATAATTTAATTCCTATGGAGATTGCGTTGAAGATAGCTGAAAAGATCAGGGCAAATGAACGCTTTGCTGCATATATTGTCATTCCAATGTGGCCAGAAGGTGTTCCAACAGGCGCTGCTACCCAGAGGATTCTATATTGGCAGGTAGTTCTGAGTAAAACTTATTGCGTGGTTTGTCTAAGCCAAAATCATTTTTCTCATATCAGAACTCACAAAACTAAGTGGGAACTAGTAGATATATTCCTGTTGTTATGTGTTCTTAACGCATGATGGATCCATATATCATCAATAAGATTGAACGATTTAAAAGTGATATATGCATTTAAGACTCATGCTTCTTACATGAGTTCTGTCCGTGTATTTGGAGATTATGAAACTGAATATCCATGTTATCATCGTTGCAGCACAAGACAATGCAGATGATGTATGAGACTGTCTACAAGGCGTTAGTGGAGACCGGACTTGAAGGAGCATTCTCCCCACAAGATTATCTCAATTTCTTCTGTCTTGGCAACAGAGAAATGGTGGATGGAATCGATAACTCGGGAACAGGAAGTCCAAGTAATGCTAGCACTCCTCAGGTAACTAAACCCGAGACTGCCTACTGCTTAACTTGCTCCTGTTGTTGAAACGATAATTCCTGATGGTATCGCAGGCATTGAGTCGGAAAAGCAGAAGATTTATGATATATGTTCACTCGAAAGGGATGGTAGTCGATGATGAATACGTAGTAATTGGTTCTGCAAACATAAACCAACGATCAATGGAAGGAACAAGGGATACAGAGATTGCAATGGGAGCTTACCAGCCTCAACATACATGGGCAAGGAAATATTCTGGTCCTCGGGGTCAGGTAAATCCCGACAACCACATAAAGATAAATCTATCACGAGTTCATTTTCCAGTTGCAGAGGTTGGATCATTGCCTTCTTCTTTTTTGTTGTGCAGATCTATGGATACAGAATGTCGCTCTGGGCAGAGCACATGGCAACATTAGATGACTGTTTCACGCAACCGGAGAGTATAGAATGTGTAAGGAAAGTGAGAACAATGGGGGAGATGAATTGGAAACAGTTTGCAGATGAAGAAGTCTCAGACATGAGAGGACATCTGCTAAAGTATCCAGTGGAAGTTGATCGGAAAGGTAAAGTCCGACCACTGCCCAGGAGTGAGGCATTCCCAGACGTCGGAGGTAACATTGTTGGATCGTTCATAGCTATACAAGAGAATCTAACTATTTGATACACAACTTATGAAGCAGTGATACTTTTTAACGTTTTCGTGGATATATTATCATCTTAGAGAGTTGAGAATTGGATGGAGGAAGGATTGTTAGAATGATAAACTTTGCACATAATAATAATTAATGATACATGATATTTGTTGTGGTGTACAAAGTGGGTTCTTGTGAAATGACTCTAGTTTCCCAAAGAAAAAAAAAATGACTCGGATCCGTATATAATTTTCTTTTACCATATAGAGTTCACCAATCTTTTGATTAAACGAAGAATTTATTTTCTCGGATTTCTGTTTTGTTACGTATGATGCAAAATTTATTAGTATTTGACAGAGACCCTTCAACTCAATGTAAAAAGCACCTACCATGAGTTTAAATGTATGATATACAATTCGTAGTCTTCATTATTACAACTGAAAATTAAGCCACTGTATGACAATTAAAGAAGACAAAAGATTATTCTGTTTGATCCAGGTCCTATAAGCTTAGAGAGATATAGACTTGAGTATAATTTCCACCTATAAATAGCTCAAAACGAAAACAAGAAGAAACTCAATAAAAATCCAGATACATAAGACGCCACGTAGAAATCAAGTGAATCTGGCTCGGAAAGAAACTTAGGATCAAAGGGCCACAATCCTTAGCCACTCTTCATCCGTTCGAGTTCTTCTTCAGCTGTTTTCAACTGCAAACGCAATGTGTGTACTTTCCTCTCCATTTCCTCTAAATTGCTTCTGCTCGTGGGTGGATGGTACGGCGTCAAGAACTTATGAGAGAACGCCTTCAAGGCTTCAACCCCTGTGACCTGTCATTCAAATATCCACAACAAGTGCAAATCTCAGGATGTATGCTATCTCTTCAGAGTATTGAGTCTCTAATGAATGCCATGCATTCTTACCTCTTCCGGAAGCAGAGGAAGTTTTGTTATATTGAAGTCATCGTATAGCATATAGAACTGATCCAGATACTTCTGTTGCATCCGCATCCTTGCTCTAAGCAACTTGGATTCCACATCTAGAAAAAAGGCAAGTGAGAATAACCATTAAAATTTGTATATAGACACAAAAGTTTGCTACTGAGAGAAGATAGATAAGAGGGAATGATCTACAAAAAGTTGGCACCTTCGTCGTCGTATAATACTTGGTTGATGATAATGTTATGTGTGTCAATCTCAAACTTGGCGAGTTCCTGAACAAGTCTCTCTGTTTCGTAGAGAGACAAGAACTCGGGGATGCAGACACAAACAAACGTTGTCAAATCCTGCAAAATGGAGCCAAACGTTTCAATTCCTTATCCTAAAATGTAGAATTTGTTAGCAATGTGTAACATTTTAACCTATGCAGATGAACCTGCCAAATCCTAAACAAAGTAATGACATGCATATGGAAAGTAACCCCAGATGAAAAAAAAAAAAACTAAAATCATGAACAGAGTTGAGAAAACAGTCAATAACTACTGAAAATAGCATAAAACTAAAACAATTGACAAATGTTACCGGGTCTTTGAATTGCCGATTTACTTGTTCAATCACATCTTTCAAACCCTCAAGTCTTCCCAACAGAGCATCCTCCCCAAACTCATCCTCCATGCCAAACATACGGCTCATCTGCAACACGAACCAGTTCCGAGAAAAATCAGCCAAAAGAAACACCAAAGAGTAATTATCAATTGCCAAGCAAATTGAGTTTCACAAGCTTAAGACATGCCTGGTTCATCAAGCCACCAAATCTACTCTTCAAAGACATCAACTTTGAAAGCCCCTTCTCTAGCGTGGCAGGGAACTGTAACAGGCGGAGAGTGTGTCCAGTTGGAGCTGTGTCAAACACAATAGTTGCATAGTCCATTGTTTGCACCAACCTACGGCAACATAAGCATGTAAAAACCATGACTGTGATATCACATTGTAAATGCCAGACAATTGTTAATAGAACGAAATGACTCGGAGTGTATTTACTTACTTCAACATCTCAGCAAAGCTCATTGCCTCATCGATTCCAGGAATCGCATTTGCTAAATCAGAGAATAAACTATCCATCCCGTCTGGACCAGCCATGTCATCAGTTTCAACGGTAGGATCCACCTCCTGAGAAAAGCAAGCAAGATTCACTATCAAGAAGTGAAGGAACGACAATCATATTCCTAGAAGCATTTGCTTGTATATTGTGTATATACATACACGCAGACACATCTAAGAGTAACTCATCATCGAGCTTTTCTACTCATCATCTAAGAGAACCACAGAAAACAACAATTTTCTGGAAAAAATTTGTTCGAATTGACATTGAATTTGACAGAAACAGCCTTGTTGGAGAGGTACAAATCTACCCAAAGTTTCTACATCCAAATTCCAAACCTAATCCCCAAAAAACTCAGTCTCAGTGGGAATACGCAATTTATGCTGGAGAGGTACAAATGATCAGTGGGAATTTGATATATGTAAGGGTAGGAATTGATCAGACCTTGTTGTTACAATTAAGCACTAAATCTAAATTACTGATTTTCAAATCGAAATTGATCGAACAATCAAGCAAATATAGCTAAGAACACGCAGATTGAGACTGAAAATTGGGCGATTGGAGATCAAATCCCGGTGAAGAATGACCAAGTTCCCTCTGATCTAGAAACGAAATCGGAGAAAGCATACCATGGCAAAGAGATTGGAGAAGCCTTGAACCAAAGTGGGAGATTTAGTGAAGCGTTGCTGAAACGCATCACTGAGATTGTGAGCCGGGTCGGTGGAGATGATGAGAACGGAGGATCGAACACTGGCGAGACAAATTGCGAGGATAGAACTGCATGTCGTCTTCCCGACACCTCCTTTCCCTCCGACGAAAACCCATTTAAGAGACTCTTGGTCCAGAATGTTCTGTACTGTTGCCTCCGGCATATCCGCCGCCATTGTTACTGCTTCCTCCTTCGTCCTTGTCTTCTCTCTCTCTTTCGCTGCCAAATCTCAAAACTTTTTGGGAATCTTCTGATTTGCGTGTGACGAGAGTTTAACGACGCCGGTTTGTTCTTCGGGTTTGGTTCAATTCGTTGGATTGTTTGTTTATACCAAATCAAAATCGATCAGGTTTGATTTTTGGTTTCGAAATTGTTTTTTTTCGGTTTAGATAATCTTTGTCGGTTTATTGAGAACCATGTTCGATATCTCTGATTAGTTAAACCATTTTGAAAACCATTATATCTTGCAAATAAAATTACCTCTAAACCCAATTAGTTACAACTTTATTTTGTTAAAAAAATTTTACCTCGAAACGAATTTCAGTTTTCAAGCTTGGTTTCATTCGGTTTAACTGAGTTTAATTTTAGTTATAATTTGATTCGATTAGTTTATAATCGATCTGCTTATACTGAAAAGATTTGTTTGCATTATACAAATTTCTTGACACTAAAAAAGAGAGTTGTAAGTAGAGGTGGTTGCAACAATGGAAGAAATAAACCAC